TAATGATTTTATTGTTTTATTTTGTGAAATCTACATGGGTTTTTGTGTTTGAGTGAAAAATCGAAGTGGGTTTGTTTGTATTGTGTCTTGAGAGTTTTATGGGTTGAGGGTTTTTCGTTTTGAGCACCAAATTGGGATTTTGACGTTTGGGTTTTTTCTACTTTTGATTGTTGGTGATGGGAATCCCCTTTCATGAAATCTTAATGAGTTTGATTAGTTTTCGACAATGAGAAATTTGAGATGGAGGGATTTTTTTCCAATTAATTCTCTCTTCATGTTATCTAGAGTGGGCAAAGGGAAACGTTTATGATTTGAGAATAATGAATTATATTTCTAATTTGTTTTATTTGTTTTAGTTGAATAATTTACTTGATATCTACTATCGTTCCTCATTTTAATCTAAAACATTACCATGTTATATTTTCTTGTTCTTGCATGTGGAGTTCATTCATTTTTGATGAGTGTGGATTCGTATTTGGGATATTTTCATATGTAGATCTGGGATATTTCATATTAGAATAATCATCTTGAATATTGTTGTACTCATATCTTTATCTTTGTTTGTATCTGATTTGTACTGATGACTACACTATACGTTATGTTGCCTTCTCATATATGTTTTTTATTATGCTAGTATTTATTTTCCTCAAGTTTGTTGGGTTGTTGGTTATTTATTGTTGCTAACTATATAAAGCTTGTGGAACGCTAATTTAAATTAGGTAATCGTCTCGCACGGCTCCTAAGTGATAAAAGAAGAAGAACTCATCTTCTTTCTTTTTTGATTACCTTCCTCGCGTATGTATATGACCGAATCCATTTGATTTCTAAATGTTCTATACATGAAGGAAATCTTGGTGATTGTTTGAGAACTTAATTTCCTACCAACATGAGGATTATGCAGTGCCCATGTATTGCTAGGGTTGCTCAAATATTCTCTTCAAATTTATTAATATGTTTCTCATACCATGTAATCTATAGCTACTCTACTCAAACCCTTACACAAATCAAAGTGTTTGCTCCCAACACCCTATGTATCATCATCTTCTAATCAAGAATCATACCAATATGTATTTTAATTTAATCTATACATTCTTTTTTGGTATTATCACCTCTGTCGTGTTCTACATGTCGTGTTCTACATATTGGTATGAATGTGTTGTATTTAAAAAAATTTATCAAGGGTAAAGCCATAGATTACATGGTTAAAATATTACACCTTATAATAAAAGAGCCTTGACTGAGTATGAATGTGTTGTAGTCTACACAAAAACTGAAACTAATTAAAAGCATGCAAAGCAAAAAAATAAAAAAATAAAAAAGAAGAAGAAAGGTATTTGTTTTCTATTTCGGTTTAATCAAATAAAATATATAATCAAATAAACCCAAATTAAAATAATATCAAATATGAAGATTTACCTTGATAGATGGGAGAACCTGCAACAATTAAATCATTAATCCTTTAAATACTGCATGAAAATTGAAGAAATTAAAAAAATATCAATTGCCATAAAATGTAATTGCAGTGCAAAACAAGTATCACCATTAAATCAGATACACAATATTTCAAAAGAATAATCATGAAAATAAAAAAAAGAACATACATGTTGAAGGAGATGAAGTTACTATGAAAATTATGTAATTTCTTGATTTATATATAGGTATGAGGTGTTGCATGTAATAGGATAATAGTCATAATTAGAGTTCTCTTTGTACAAACATTTAAAATTTAAAAATTAGAATTTGATTATGATTGTTATATGTCAGCTATTGCAGTTACGCAATTATTAGTACATAAATGTTACCGGTGCTTCAAATACTAATCCCTAAAATTGTTGTTAGAGTGTATAGATAAGAATATTTAGCTAATCCTATTATCAATAAGATTTGAATTTCTTTGCTGCATCTTTTAAACAACAGAAGTAGCTCTCTTATTGATTTGAAGATAGGGTGAAATAAGTGAGAAGAATTGTTCTTTTGATAAAACTCTTAGCAACCAAGATCACCTATTTTTGGGTAAAAAGTAAGATTTTGACCACTTATTTTTGGATAAAATCGGTGACTCATTGTTAAAATGACGAAGACAGAGACATAGTTTGAGAGAGAGATTATAATTAAATTTCTAATGTTTAGTGAGACAGAGATCATCGAAGCGAGATTCACCTCTTCACCTTCTTCAAAGAAAATCCAACGTGTGAATTCCTAATCTTAATAGTTCACTTAGTCGATCATGTATGATTCTTTATAAATCTATATGAACTCATATTTATTGAATTAGTGTTATAATATAGGCATCATTGTTTTCTTCCCCACGTGCTTGAATTAAAATATTTTAAATTTTATTATGGATTAGGGTTATGGTTTTCATTGGGTATAATTAAATATTTATTTATTCTGTTGCTTTATTTTTAGAATCCTAACTTGCACGTGGACTTCAAAAATGTTAGAATTTGATTATGATTAGGATAGTTATACAATTTAAAAGTTAGAATTTGATTAGGAGTAGGATAGTTCAAAAGTGTTCATAAAGGGTATATATATATATATATATATATATATATATATATATATATAATACTATATATATATATATATTATATGGAAAAGTGTCCGTAAGGTGACGCCTTTAGATAATCATCTTAAGGACGCGGCCTAAAATACATGATTGAGCTAACATGTGGTATGTCCGCTCAGTCAAAGATTTGATCTACATATTCTAAAACCCACAACACACCAAGTTTGGGGTGAACTCCATCGTCGGTCGTTCATGAACCCTTTGTCGAGGCCATGTGAAATGTTCTACTTCATTCGAAACCGTTTAAAATTGATACGAGTGGATGAAGGCTCAGAACGACGACGGCGTTCACCCCAAACTTCGGTAGTGTTTGGTGATTTAGAATATTGTGTAGATCAAGTTCAACGAGCGGATCATTCACACTGTAGCTCAATCATGTGATTTTAGGCACGTGGCATTAGATGATTATCTAAGACGTACATTAGGAAACTTCTCCATATATATATATATATATATTATATAAATATATATATTATATATATATAATATATATATATTATATATAATATATACTATATATATATATAATATATATTATATATATATATATAATATATATATATATATATATATATATATTATATATATAATTATATCAGGGAGAAGTGTTCCTTAAGTGACGCATTAGATAATCATCTAATAAACGCGGGCCTAAAATCACATGATTGAGGCTATCTTATGGATCGGTCACTCAGTTAAACTTGATCTACATATTCTTAAAACCCCACACACAAGTTTTGGGGTGAACCCGTCGTCGTTTGACCCTTTATCCACTCGTATCAATTTTAACGGTTTCAAATGAATAGAACTTTTCACATGGCTCGACGGAGGGTCAAACGATGATGGGTTTTCCCCAAACTTGGTGTGTTGGGGTTTTAGAATATGTAGATCAAGTTCAATGGAGCGGATCATCCACAATGTATCTAAATCATGTGATTTTATACCGTATCCTTAGATGATTATCTAAGGCGTCACCTTAGGAACACTTTTTCATATATATATACAGCATGAAGGTCTCGAAATATTTGCTCTCTTAGCGAACTCTGGGGTATGCACAATTGATCGCCATGAAATAGATAACCATCCTGAATATGAAAGCCTTTAACTGATCTATTTTGAAGACAGTCATTCCAAATCTTCTTAAAATCGTCATCCTCCGCATAAAGCTCCTTAAGATACTCAAACGCAATCACTTCAGCCTTCAAAGTTACCAACAATCCAGCCCTCCTACTGAGTGCATCTGCAACCTTATTCTGCTGCCCGGATTTATGCTTCAAAACGAAGGTGAAACGCTGCAGATATGCAATCCAACGAGCATGCATACGGTTGATGGTAGTCTGACTATTAAGGGTCTTCAAGGCCTGATGATCAGTGTGAAGCAAAAACTCTCTCGAGATCAAATAGTGCTCCCAATGCTTCAAAGACTGAACTATGGCATATAATTCTAGCTCATATGTGGTCCACTTCTGTCGAGCTTCGCTTAGTTTCTCACTGTAAAAGGCAACTGGACGCCCTTCCTGAGATAAAACACCACCAATTCCTATGATGGACGCATCACAATCAACTTCAAAGACTTTTTGAAAATCTGGAAGTGCAAGCACAGGTGCGGTGGACAACTTCTCCTTGATCAGTGCAAAGCTACGATCTGCTTCTTCCCCCCAATTGAACTTTCCTTTCTTCATGCATTCAGTTATAGGTGCTACAATGCTGCTGAAATTTCTTACAAATCTCCTATAGAATGTTGCTAGGCCATGAAAACTACGAACTTCGCTGACAGTCTTCGGGGTAGGCCAATCCCTAATAGCACGAACCTTCTCTTCATCAACATGAATACCCTCTGCACTAACAACAAAGCCTAGAAACACGAGGCTACTGGTCATGAAGTTGCACTTCTTCAAATTAATGTACAACTTATTCTCCTGCAAAACTGTTAGTACCTCCCTCAAGTGGTCCAGATGTGCAGCCCCACTCTGGCTATAAATCAGGATATCATCAAAGTAAACTACGACGAACTTGCCGATAAAGGGTTTTAATACCTGATTCATCAATCGCATGAAAGTGCTAGGGGCATTAGAAAGACCAAAAGGCATGACTAACCACTCGTACATGCCTTCTTTTGTCTTGAAAGCAGTCTTCCACTCATCTCCTTCCCTAATCCGAATCTGATGATAGCCGCTCTTGAGATCTATCTTGGAGAACACCTTTGAACCAGATAACATGTCTAGCATGTCTTCCAAGCGTGGAATAGGAAATCTGTACTTCACCGTAATCTTGTTGATAGCCCTACTGTCCACACACATACGCCACTCTCCGTTCTTCTTTGGGACTAGTAGTGCTGGCACTGCACACGGACTCATGCTAGGTCGTATAAGGCCCTTCTGGATGAGATCATCCACCTGCTTCTGCAAAATCTCTCCTTCCTTCGGACTCATCTATAGTGTGGCAGATTTGGTAGTCGGGATCCAGGGATAAGGTCGATCTGATGTTGAACGTCCCTAAGCATGGGTAATTCAGAAGGAAGATCATCAGGCATAACTGCATCAAACTGTTGTAAGAGGGTCTGTACTTCATGTGGAGTTTCGACAGTGGCAGACTCCTCTTTTCCCGAAACTACAAGGGCATAAATCTCATCAGATTGCTTCACATCTTTCATAAAGTCTTCATTGTCAACGACCAAGAAATTCTTCTTTTCAGCCACAATGGTTTTGACAGGTCCCTTCTCGGTTAGAGGCTTGAGCACAATTCGGCGACCATCCTTCTTAAAGATGTAGACGTTATCTTTCCCTCTATGCGTGGCATCAACATCAAACTGCCAAGGTCTGCCTAACAACATATGACATGCATCCATCTCTACTACATCGCACAATGCCTCATCCACATAAGTTCGGCCAATGGAAAAGGATACCCGACACACTTCATCAACCTGTACGTCATTACCCTTGCGAATCCAGCCGATCTTGTAAGGAGCGGGATGCTTTTCCGTCTTCAGCCCTAACTTCTCCACCATGCGCCGAGATACAATATTTTCGCTGCTCCCACTATCAATGATGACATCGCAGATCTTCTGTTGCACCGTACATCTCGTTCGAAAGATATTATGCCTCTGTGGTGGTTCTTCTGCCTTTGGAGCCAACAATAGTCGCCGCACAACACATGAGAGTTGTTCCCCATCATCAGCATCCAACCCATCATCATAGTCTTCAACATTGTCTCGGTCTGTATCATCATCTTCATGATCCACCATGTTCACAGTACCTCTTTTAGGGCACTGATTGGAACGATGACCAGGCTGTCCGCATCTATAACACTTGATCGGGTCAGGTTTGGCATAAGGGTTCGTTGGAGTAGGCTTCTTCGCTGCAGTCGTCGCTGGCCCCTTGCCCTTTTCTGTCGTAGAATCTTGATCAGGAACAGTTTGAGACTGTTTATTCCCACCACGATTAAAGTTCGTGCGCGAACCGTCAGAAGCTGCCCACGATCCTTTACTATTTCGTCCAAGCTGTCGCTCCACCTTCTCGGCTAAGCTAAACCTTCTCGGCTAGGCTAACCGTGTCTGCCAATGTATAGGTATGCTGTAAAGATACACGATCTTGAATCGCTATCCTTAATCCCCCAATGTATCGAGACATCTGCTGCGCCTCGCTCTCGTGTAAATTGTTGTGGGATGACAGTCGATAGAACTCCTGCGTATACTCATCCACGGATCTTCCACCTTGCCTACAATTCTGATACTGCCCAAATAAAACTTGTTCATAATCACTTGGTAAGAAACGGGCTCTCAGTAGCTTCTTCATCTTTTCCCACCTATCGACCTTCGGCTTTCCTTGACGAGATCGATTCAGACAAACAGACTCCCACCAAGCCGAAGCTCCACCTTTGAGTCTGTAAGCCACCAATTTAACCTTACGTTCTTCAGGGATCTCCATATACTCAAAGAACCTCTCTACTTCTGCAATCCAGTCGAGAAACTCTTCAATATGAAGTTGCCCGTTGAAAGATGGCAGATCCATCTTCATCTTGAAACCTCCAGCGTCATAATTATCCCTTTGTCGTCGGTCTCTGCGATAAACACCGCGGCGTGGGGGTGCATAGTGATCTTCCTCGCTGTCGGAATCTTCATACGGAGTCGGTTCACGTCGTTGGCGACCATCAACGCGATTTCGATCTCCTACAATCTCCAGACGCTCTACTGCCACTGCTATTCGCTCCACGACAGTCTTCATCTGATTGACATCGGCCTTTAGCATGTCGAACTCAGTTCGAGAGATAGGGGCTTCATCACCTGCCATCGGATCGGAGGAATAAGGCTCTGATACCAATTGACGCAGCGCGGAAGTTGTAACCTCGGAATCCACCAAGGGTGTTCTCTGAATCCACAAAGAACGATCTTCGAATCCACGAAGAGCTTCGAATCCACGAAGAAATATTGAGGAAAAACAAAATTTTATTAATAAAAAGTTATGCCTCTAGGGCTTACAAGACTCTTCCACGTGTAATTTTATCTTATTAATACTTTCAATTTAAGAGTAGCGTGAGTGGATGGACAAACAAAATTATAAAACACAAGAATAATATCATTATTTCCTTAAAGTTGTAAAAGGTCGCTATCCATAGTGCTATCAAAGTTAAGTCGCTCTTTTAAAAAGGAAGGTTCTTTTTGGGTAAGGAGTTAATTTTAAAAGCAAGCATAGGTTAGTGAAACAATAGGTACACAATTAATTATGCTAGGAATAACTTAAATATTATAAATTTGATTTTGAGCATTTGGCTAAATTATTTTGGAGAATAACCAGTATAAATATTCTAATATAATTTGTAATTTTAATTTACATCATTTTAATAAGATAAATTGTTATTATACCTTCAGTGGCTATCACTCATCATTTAACTCGTTTATAAGCATTATCATCCTTGGATGGATATTTTAAGGACAGATTGTACAGAACCCCCTTGCCACTCCCTCATGCATAGAGAGGATAAGTACTGTGATTAAATGATTGAAAAATGACAAATGATATTGAAAGTATAAATAGGAAGGTTATATGGAACTTACCCTTTTTAACCAAGTAATAATAATCTTTCTATTTTCAAATCACATTACAAGTTGCTTGACAAACTATACTTTGTGCTACATTTCTTCAAAATTACACATAACTATTATGATATGATTTAAAATGATATGTGAATCTCATTCAAGAATTAAACTTTTATAACATCATTTCACATTCATATGATTTATTCAAAGGGCAATTATAACAAAAGGGTATGGAACACAAAGAGAGACTGTTTTCTTTCTAATTTTTAATTTTTAATTTTTTATTTTGATAAAGCGGGACTGGTATTAGTTAGAGACAATAATTGGTCTCAAAAAAATAAAAAAAATAAAAAAAGGAAAAGAAGAAGAGATAAGGGGCTGTTTGGTTGTTGTTGGTAAAGTTGTGTTTTTATGACACAACTTGGAAAGTTGTTGTCCACCTCATCAATTTCACTTTTATACTTTTCTTTGTTTGTTTTTGATTCCATTGGAATCATAAAACACTTGTTTGGTTTGCAAAATGAAACTTTAATTGTTTGTTTGGAAAGTGTAAAAAGTGGTCCCTACTCAAATGATCATATTGGTTGGAATTATTTTTTATTATTTTTTCCTAACTTCAATGTTAGCTTTCTCCTAAAATCATGTCTTTTTTTCATGAAATCACTTTACAAGCCACATAAGCATATGAAATCACTTTACACTATTTTCACAACTACAAACAAACAATTGAAAGTGATGAAAGCTGACATTGGGACCCAATTTTTTACACTTTACATCCTTTTACATGGTAAAAACATACAACCAAACAGCCCCTAACTGTTGGGATTTTTAATTAATATAAGCCGATCATTTTTGGGTAAATCTCCGGGGATCACTTTATATAAAAATTCAAGCTATTTTCGTCTAAAAAAATCCATGCTATTTCTTATCCACTTACATATAATTATGGTTAGTAAAATCTCTTTAAATATGGGTAATATAGATTATCTTAACTTATTTATTTCAAACTTAATACTGTTTGCCAAAATCCAGATGGAGCTGTTTTGGTAATTGCTAAATTAATTTATCGAAAGGTAATATAGATATATTTATTATTTTTTAAAAATAGGAAAATGTGGATTATGTTAACATTTGTAGTTAAAAAAATTGGTAAGTTAAAGCTCTAGTTTAATCTCCATAAATCCCGATCTAACACGATGCCAAAATCCAAATAAAGCTAAATGAATAATTGCCAAACGAAGTCATTGTCCATAAATTAAATTTGTCCTTTAATAGGAAGAAAAACAAGGGCTTTTCTCTCAAATTTGCCTCTTTCGTACTATTATTTTAGACGGAGGCTTCTTTGCTGGTGGCTGGCGAGCCTTTGAGAATCGCCGCTTTGAAGTCCCCGAAACGACACGGGAAAAACTCTGTGTCGGCCGAAACGCTGGTATTTATCCGATATTTAATTGTTTTTATGCTAATATTTTAATATAAATTGATCCATAGTTCTCCATTCCGTGGTTCAGTCTTTCAAAAATCGCTTTCTTAATGTCTTTGACGGGTTCCTTGTAATTTCCTAAGGCTTAATTGGGAAAGAAACAGCCAATGCAGGTGATTAATTATAGTGATCATTTTGCTAATGATGTGATTTATCATCTGGGTAAGAGTCAAAATTGAATCTTGTGTTAGTATGTTGAGTGTTTGGGATTTAGGGCTGTTGTGATTCAAATTTTGTCTGTAAAGTTCGGTATGTTATTCAAATCTCTTTATAATTTTTATCATGTTTTCTGGATTTTGTTGTAGAACTGTGCATAGCTCTCTTTGGGAATCGCCTGTATATGTGAAAATATCTGGATGCATGCCTGATATTTTTGTTAGAGTATTTTTTTTTCGTAATTGGAGTACATAATTTTCTGGATTAGTATTGGAGTTGTACCTTAAGTTAGCATTTTGATTGTTGCTATATAATTTCATATGATCTCTCTGCTAAATAAGAAATCATGCTTTATTCTATCTATAAAATCTAGTCAGTTTGGTGCTTTAGTGCTCACTTTGAAATATACATAAGTCTCTGCATGATTGTACAAAATCATATAATTGTTTTCTTGGAATCATATTTTCAAGCTTGAATAAGAATGGAGTTCTGGAGAGTTTAACAGATCTTTTGCTTCATTATATAGCTCTCTCTTTGTTTAGATTTGCTGGAAAATATTTATTATTTGGGGGATTGGATGGATTGCATTAATGGTTTCATATTTTGGTATTTAGTACTCTGTCTTTTATTTCTACTTGGTAATTTTTGTAGATACTAGTGGGGTTTAAACTTCGAATATATTTCACACTATGAAGAAGCTTCATCACTGTAATTCAAGGGCGCTTGTTATTCAAATTTGGATGTAAAAATCCTTTGGTGCATTTCTTTCTTACTTTCATTGGTGGATCTTTCATTTTTATTTGCTGCCTTCTGGTATAATCCTATTTGATTTATATTAGTTCCATTCCAGTTTTTTCTAAAGGATGAAACAATATATCTCTTAACAGTAATTCAGTTGGTAGTTTATTGTCAATAATCTGGTGTAAACTGCTTCCAACTTCGACATAGATTGACTTGACAACTATTTTCCAATGATTAGTGTTCTTTTATTTATGGGAGACTTGGAGTGCTCTTTGATTTTCAGTTAAGACTTTAAGCTCTCGTTAGGTGCTAGTTAAGGATCACTGTATGTCCCATGTGAATGGATTCTTACTCGATCTCTATAAAATTTCAATCATAGTTTTAAATTTGTTTCCTTTGATTAGACAATCTAAGTAGTTCTTATGCCTCCTTTTATAATGGATAGTTTTTGGATTTCATATTTTAAAATCTTTTCTCCTTCATCTTTTGTATATATATGTGATGCTTAATAAATTAGTCCTGTTGACTCTATACCCTTGAATTTTCTGAAGATAAAGATGTAATAATAGTTTGCACGGTCACTACAATTGATGACTGAGATATCTTGTTTGTTTGCATTAATACTAAAGATTTTTGAAGTAGATCATAATGAGATTATCTTTTGGAGGAAGAATCCTTTGTACAAGTATGATATAGCTGTATGGTAATATGGAGATCTCATTTATGTTTGTCAGATGCCTAAGTTTTCATCAGTTTATTTGATTTCTTATTTTATTGTATAAGAATCCTTTGTACAAGTGTGATGTAGCCGTATGGTAATATGGAGATATTATTTATGTTTGTCAGATGCCTAAGGTTCCTTTGCACATTTCTTTTTAGATTTTCTGCCTTTTTATTCTTTTATTTCAGTTCCCTTTCGTTTTTCTTTCATTTTTTGTTTTAAGAAAGGTGATGAAAATCTGTTCCTATGGACCTTAACAATTTTCAGTTTGAAATTCAATTAATTCTTTGCTGCTAAGCAAATGATTGAAACATTTTCTTTGTGGGAGCAGGCTGTTTCTTCACTAGAAGCTTCAAAGGTTTTGTAAGTGTTAAACTGTAATCATGGGAGGAAAATCATCAAAAAGCAGGAGCTCCTCTCATAATTATGGAAGAACTTCTTCACAGAGCACCGCAAGGTACTCATCTAACTCTGAGAACTATATGCAGCCCGAGGCTGTAGAGAGGGTGCAGAGAAAGTATTCAAAGATTGATGACAATTACCAAACACTTAACCAAGTATGTCACAAGTCTTAGCTTCCTCTCTTCTTTGTTGGATTTTTAATGTTATCTTGTTTCACATAGGGTGTGATAGTGTACAACTATATTTTTGATGCAACCCTATTGCATATGAGCTATATAATGCAGTTTGATTGTGTCAAATATACATTTTGATTATCTGCTTTGGAAATTGACGTACATAGTAAATGTAGATAGATTAGTAGATTGGAGTTTGGGCATGAATTTTGGCCTGCATTGTTAAACTTCTCGACATTTTTTTGAAGGAAGGTGAAGAGGATGTAAAATGAGAAAGAAAGCTATTTAATGTGTTTAGATCTTTCGATCAAATATCTGAGAAGGAAAGTAGAATTTTCTCTGCTCGTTAAGACAAGAAATAAGTGAGTAAGCTATATGATCTGTGAATGGGAAGATATGTTGCTCAATCCTGCATAATGACCAGAAAATCTTGATACTCTATTGTTCCACGGTATTCATGAGCTTTGGAAGCAAAATGTCAAGAGTTCGGTACCAAAATTCACTTTCGTTATTTTTTGATTTTTGGTAGGACTATATTGGCTTGAGCTTCCCATTTCCGTGTTGCTTACATATTTAATCAAATGCTAATGATGTGCGACTTTCTATCGTTCAAGTAATTTTGTAAAAGATTCATCATAACTTGCTGCATTCCCAAAAGTCAAAGTGACTAGATAAATTTTAACTTTGTAAATATGTCAATACTACTTTCCATTTTTCATATATTTCTCTTTTGAAAATAAAATTTGCATTCAATGTATCCATTTGGTGTCCACCCAACGCTTATACCTTTTGTTTCTGGACTCATGCATTTCAGTACCAAAAATCTACTTTCTTTGTGTTCACAGAAATAGGAGTCTTGAATCTTGATAAATTTTTACACTTATTTTAGATCTTTGCACATGCCTTTGTTGTATGCTAAATTTAATGTATTTGAACTGTAATTCGAGCATTTTAATGCATCTCCATGAATTCTTTTTTTTAAATATCCAATGACTAGAAAGCTGTAAATCCTTTTCTAACTGTTTAATATAAATCTGTTTTACATCTGACCTTTAGACACACAAAGCTAAGTCATTATGTTTTGTTAATTGATAGTCAATGTTAATCTATAGGCAGTATTCAAGTTTTTGTCCCCTTTACTCCTGCGGAAGATTTTGACAAATCTTCTCTCTGGTGAATCAACCTTAAATATATTCCTGTACAATGGATCAAATAAAAATAGCACTGTTATAAAGTTTAAGGTTCCATTTTACAGAAAAACTTAATTTTTGTTCCATCTGACTAGAAATGTGAAGCTATTTTAGACAAAATGAGATGCAATTTATTTTGAAGTTCTAAGAGTTACTTATGATCAGACTTTGCTGTGGTCGTGTGATAGTCTTTTTCCTCAGAATGAGTTAGTGATGGCACCTAAAGCATTGACATATCATGGTTGCTTTCTCTTTTGCTCTTAGGTGACTGAAGCTCTGGCACAAGCAGGTCTTGAATCTTCAAATCTGATTGTGGGAATTGATTTCACAAAGAGCAATGAGTGGACAGGTAAGATAGATATACAGCCTATACTATATGCAGCTGATTGTTGGACTGAACCTCTTGATCTCATGGAACTTGTAACCAATATTTCTTACTTTCAGGCAAAATATCATTTAATCGGCGGAGCTTGCACTCCATAGGAACTACTCCAAACCCATATCAACAAGCAATATCTATCATAGGAAGAACCCTTGCCGTCTTTGATGAGGATAATCTCATTCCTTGCTTTGGATTTGGAGATGGTTCACATTTTCAACATACTTCTTTTTTTTTCAGCCAACAGATTATTTAGGGACTTACCATTGTTATTTCTTTTTTGTAGCCACCACTCATGACCAAGAAGTATTCAGTTTTTACCCAGATAACCAGCCTTGCAATGGTTTTGAAGAAGCTCTACAACGTTACCAGGAAATAGTTCCGGATCTTCATCTAGCTGGTTAGTTGGATGTTAGTGTTTTTTTTGGTGTGGTGGTGGGTGGGGTGGGGGGGGGGGGGGAGGGGAGGGGGGGGGGGGGGGGGGGGCGGGGGGGAGGGGGGGGGGGTTGGGCGGGGGAGGGGCGGGCGGGGGGGGGGGCAGGGGCAAGGGCTAAAGCTATTCGGTCAAAATCAGATTCTCTTCTTTTATTTGTGCAGGGCCAACATCGTTTGCACCGATAATTGAAACTGCCATAGGCATTGTCGATAGCACTGGCGGTCAATACCATGTTCTTCTTTTAATTGCTGATGGGCAGGTTAGTTATGATCTTGGGTTGCTGTCCAATGTGTCAGAAACTAATTCTTCTGTCTCAAATGGAATTTTTTGTGATAATCTCTATAACATTAATAACATTTTGCCAAACTGAAATTGCAATTCATAATTCTTTTGTTGAGAGTTGTGGTGGTATTTTGGAAGAAGGTTAAAATATTTTTTATGAATATATGTTTGTGAACTTATACTTTTAAAAGTCCCTTTTCTGCTCTTTAATGGATACTGGGTACAATTCTGTATGCACATTTTTTACCGTAAGATAGTTAATTAACAAAATTAGCAGAGAAATAATGTAGACCCAATGGATGACCGAAAAGTATAGGCGCTCTAAAACTTGAGTCACAATTAATGTTCTTGATCTTGAGTTTTTGACAGATAAAGTGTCAATAGGATCGCTGGTTTCATATATCTTTTCTTATTCATCAGAGGATAATAAAAAGTGCAACAGTGTACAATCCATAATGGTTTCCCTTTAGTCACTATTTGATGGACACATCATACCTAACATTTGGAGGTGTAAATATAAGATGGTTGTTTGTCTCTCTCTGCTTTTATACTTAGAAAAAAAAGGTCATGGTCGAACATATACTAATGCAGGTAGTACAATGATATCGAAATTGGTTCTTTTTTGTTAACTCTTATCCTGTTTATTATTAAATACACTCCATATTCTTAGAAATCTGTGAAGGTCTAAATAAATGCGAGTTCTTTATACTTCCAACTAATTGGATAAGAGCTTTGTTGTTGTTGTAGGTTTCTATCTGAACTGAAAACATGAGACTAATTCATACATTTCTAGTTAGTTTATCCCTGTCTTTCTGAATGGCTTACTAAACTAGTATTACTATGAGATGCTCATTTTTTAGCTTGATATATAATATCATTCAGCTTGCTATGCAGATAACTTTTTACCTATTTCTTTTCTCTGTGCATGTTTTCTAGGTAACGAGGAGTGTTGACACATGTCATGGAAAATTAAGTCAACAAGAAAGAGACACTATGAATGCCATTGTCAAGGCTAGGTAAATGTCAAATATAACATGAAGCTTTCTTTTTCAAATGTTTGCTCAATTCCAAATGTTCTAATCAATTTTTTTATTGTAATAGTGATTATTCCTTATCCATAGTAATGGTTGGAGTCGGTAACGGACCGGCAAATATAGCACGAGGCTTTCCATTTTCAAATGTTTGCTCAATTCCAAATGTTCTAATCGTTTTTTTTATTGTGATAGTGATTATCCCTTATCCATAGTAATGGTTGGAGTCGGCGATGGACCCTGGGACATGATGCGGGAATTTGATGATAATATACCTTCTCGGGCATTTGATAACTTTCAGGTTAATATTATCTTTATAAGCATATTTTTCTTAAGAGATAGTCTATGGTAAATTCTGGACCTTTGCCTTCTCTGAATGCAGTTTGTAAATTTTACGGAGATTATGTCACGGCAAATCCCTGATAGTAGAAAGGAGGCAGAGTTTGCTCTTGCAGCTCTAATGGAAATTCCGTCACAATATAAAGCAACTATAGATCTCCAACTTCTGGGGTATCAAACTCGTCCATTTTATTTGGCTTATTGTTGATATTGTTGATAATGTAATAATAACAAAAAGGCATAACATTTCTTTTCTCTTTTAGCCGGAGAAGAGGAACTCCAGTCAGAGTGTGCCTTCCTCCACCAAGAAGGAGCGGCACTTCAGCATATAATACTCCTAAATACTCAAGATCAATCAGTTTTGATCAAGCTCCTCAAGACCCTCAAGTTCCTATAAGTTCTTCTTCTGCTCCATTAGAAGGCTCCATCGAGGATAAGCTGGTATTTTCTGGTTTCAAAGATTTTATTCTAAACTCTAATAATAGTACCTGCTTTATTCAATAACTCAAAAATTGATCTGGCATTTTTTTTGTTACAATAGAAAATTATAACCCTTGTCACTACTTCGGATTTTTGTTGTAGTGATGGGGACATTTAGAATGGTATCATAGCAACTCACCAATCAAAAAAATTTAAAGCAAATTTTAAAAGAATTGATACCACTGAGTGAGCCAGGTTTTGGCCTCAAAAATGACACTAAATCTGCATGAGCATGCTAGAATATCAAATTAAAACCCTTCGACCCTCACGACAACTTCTAAATTCTACTGTACTGGTGGGGACATGTTTAATGCCGCTTACGAAAAATTTTGTTAATGGAAGATCGGTACATGCTTTACTTGTGCAATGAACAGTGTGACTCATGAGGAAGAAGTACTCTCCTAAAAATGTTTTTGATAGGGTCTCGAGATGTTTTACTTTTATTACTCCCCATTCCTCTGATAGCATGTTTTATAACTACTACACCTAAATAATGTACACATCTGAAGCTAGCCTAAGAGGTATCATTCTCGAGTAAGCGGGGTTAGGTATCATTCTTGAGTAAGCGGGGGTTATTAGCCCGATAATGTACACATCTGAAGGTAGCCTAGGAGGTATCATTCTCGAGTAAGTGCTTATTAGCCCAATAATGTACACATCTAAAGCTAACCTAGGAGGTAACATCGTCCTGCTACCAAAACGTGAGACTGTAATCTATCTTCCAAATACCCATCTCAAAATTAGGCATCAGTTTGAAGAAAGAAAAAAGATGAGGTGATGATGGAACTAACTAGTTTTATGATGGATCTTCTGCTTGCGAAGGTAAGTTTAGAGTAATGAAAGACATTTGTAAGTATATTATAAAATCGTGCTACAAATGGTTTGAGATTCAAATTTAATCGGTTATTCATAATGCCAGACGTCCTGTTACCATTTATAACTAACTCTGTTTCCTTGCAGACGTGTTCCATTTGCCTTTGGCAACCAAAGAACCTTGCCTTTGGATGTGGGCATCAGGTATAACACAACCCAACATCAGTGATAGTGCAATTTTCTTAATTCTTTGTAGTTGTTACATAACCACTTATATAATTTCGATTTGCAGACTTGCGACAACTGTGGGAAAGAAATGAAAACTTGCCCCTTCTGCCAGCGCAAGATAGACACCCGAATAAAGCTCTACTGATGCTTGAAGCTCTCCATTGATGATCGCATCGGTAGCTTAGTTTATAAATACATTTCTGAAAAACCAGTTTATAGTTTGATCTCACTGTTGAATTGTTTTCTCTTGGCAGTATAGTGTAAATATTGGTAGCTGATAGATGGATTATTAAAGTTTGCAGAGTTACCTTGTTGATGATAGCTTTACCTTTGTTTCCTATAGTTTGTGTAAATAAGTTTGAGATAACTATGGAAGCCTGTTGGCATTTGGTGTGACTTTTGTCATTGCACTTTTGTCTTGGGAAGCAGTTATTTGTTACCTTTTGCTTATTGTCCTAGTACAGAGAAATATTTATGTTTGGTTTTGTAATTTTAGGGGTGTTTGGTTTTCAATTTACAAAAAAAAAAGGGGGGGGCGGGGGGGGGCGATACAACTGTAGTTGTTTGTTTCTTCTCCAATTGCAGCCTCGTTTCACCCCTTTTTCTTCTTGTGTTTTGTAATTCAAGTCTACCCACCGCTGTACATTGAAAGCTCTCTTTCTTTTATTTCCGTTATCTGGTCATGTTAATCTTGGGGTACACCCCCCCCCCCCCCCCCCCGCGGCCGACGTGAGATCTAATTTAAATTAGTTTCTCTCAAAAAATGGAATTATAAAATAAGTTCTCAGAAGCTTTTAAGTTACATAGTGTCTATGTTATTAAAATTATTGTAGGCTACAATTATCAAATAGTTCGTTGTTTTCGCGATGCCTTCAGCTGGTATTGCTGTTGATAATCTGTTCTAAGTTAGATTTTCACTTATTTGCTGTAATTTATAAATCGTTTATTAGGGAGCCTAGGAGAACCTATATCAGAAAATTCTTTTTACCTTCCAATAATTTTCTCCATAGTTTTAGGAGCAGTAATTCTATCAGGAGTTACAAGTTTCAAATCAACGAAAGGTCCAAACTATCCATTACAAACTACATTCCTGAGCTAATGTTTTGCATCACGTCGAATGTTCTAAAGGGCTATCTGGGTCAAATCCTAAGATTTTAGGATTTACAATCTCATGAGAATTTCAAATCCATAATGTTTTATACATGTTGTGTGATTTCTGATATTTTGTTTGGTTCAACATTGTTATGGGAAAGAAAATTCTAAAACTTGTAATCTCTTGTTTTGTTTAAACCCAAAATTATAGGATAACAAATTTTATAATTTATAATCTAGTATTTATTTTATTTTAAAAAAAACGAATGTGTATATTACGGGTGGGGTGGGCCGACCAGGTTTAGGCCCGTGACCCGGCCCGCCGGGTTCAAAGCTAGGTTTAGCCTGACCTGGGCCAAGCGGGGTGGTCAACTTCTCTAATCTCGGATCTGGGACTGGACTCAGCTAGGTGTGGATCGGGTCTGACACGACCTATGGCCTGTGGGTCGTGGGCCTGTCCGTGGGTTTTTCGTCCAACTTTTTTTTTTCTATTTTTTACCTTTTTAATTATATAAAACTTATATTTATAATTATAATTTTTTTATTTTTTAATAATTTAAATTTGTATTAAACTATTTTTAACCATGTGTTAAACTTTTTAATCCTTCTAAATAGATAACAGCGAGCTTAAAGATCACTACTTTGTTTCTCAATGGGCTAAAAGACTCACAAGTCGAAGACATATATCTTTTTGACTTTGTTGGCAGCTAGTTGCAGACCCAATGGGCTAAAGGAAATAGCTAGACTACCCAAAAATATATATCATGGGCCGGGGCGGGTT